TCAATTTCCTTCATCATTTGACTTGACATTTTTATTAATCTTTGAATTTGAAATGATGATAGAAATGTTTCAGCGAAAATAGCTATTTTTTGCTCTAAATAAAATGAAATTGGATTTATTAGGGGACTTTCTAAGGATGGTTAATTTTTAGGATTAAGATTTATTGTGAAAGGCAACAAATTCTAATATTGAATGTTATAAATGATGACAATGGTTACCAAATCTTATGATCACATGTCTTCCTATGTCCAGACTGAGTAGAACTGCTGATATTTATAGTAAGAAGCTGTTCACTTTTAGTTTTTCCCCTGTTTGCTTGTTTTGTTATGTGGTTTTAAAAGGCTTCTTATTCTTTTCATTATAACTCCAGTACACCAGTAATTTTTTGATTATGCATTCTTAATACTAAATTATTATCAATCTTGGAATCTTAATATCACAGGGAAAATATGAGGATGCAATCAAGGAATGCACAAAAGCGCTAGAACTAAATCCTTCATATATGAAAGCTCTGCTTAGAAGAGCAGAAGCACATGAAAAACTAGAGCATTTCGAAGAGGCTATTGCTGGTAAGTTCGGATTTAATACCACCTTTTAATTTTAACCATTGTACTGCAGTCTAAGGTGATATCTTTCATCAGTTCATCGTTCAATTTCCTGGACAGTACTCCACTATTCTTGACCCTTTTTCAGCTCACTAGAACCAACTTCTGTCCTCTCATGTATGTGGGTTTGTAGTTCTATACTCATATGTATTGCTAAATTTTATTTTTTTACTCTGCAGATATGAAAAAAATCTTGGAACTCGATCCCTCAAATGACCAAGCCAAGAAGACCATTCGTCGCCTGGGGCCGCTGGCTGAAGAAAAGAAAGAAAAGATGAAAGAGGAGATGATTGGTAAGTTTCTTTTTCTTTTTCTTTTGGTAAATTAGATGATTGGTAAGTTGGATAAATTATTTTGTTGTGCATTTATATTGTTTATAGTTTCATGTTTATGGTTTTATATTCTTTTTCTTGTGGCCACTTGATCAAATTGTTCCCAACAGCTGTATGTACCGTGAGCAATGCCCAAAAAAAATAAAAACCTAATCCATGTCTTAGATAGACCACTCTTCTAGCCTTCACATGACTTCTTTCCTCTAGTTGTAAACAAAGACCAAAGGACAGGGCAATTAGACTGTATTATGGGGGCAACTAGGCAATGCGTTTATGCGAAGTCAATTAATTACTTTCCCAAAGACCAGTGTAACTATTTTTTTCTGACTTTGTGACATAAGGCAAGACTAACATATGAAATAAAGAAAACAACTCCTGAAATCAGCCTGCTGATTAAATTTTTAATGTCATATGATTTTTGCTTATGGAACACTAACCTTTTGCTGGAACTTGTTCATAATTTCTGAAAGACGTTGCTGTTGAAGGAGCGTTCGAGCAAATATTTTATACTTGTGGATGATGTCAACTTAATAATAATAGGAGCGTGTAGATCATAATTCTTCTATCTCATGTCTGTTACAGTTCTTCGCATATTCTGTGTTTTCTGGTGATAGTCGATATGATGTTTCTAAATTGCTATGCCAGAGACTGGTATATGTTGCATGTTTGTGGCATACTTCACTAAGTTTTAGACTTGGCTGTTAGCTGGCATATTGTCCTCTGTAATGTATAATTGTGTACTTTCCTCAGTTTCACTACAATTTAATGTTTCTCAAAAGGAAAACAAATCTGTTGTAGACTGAGCATTTGAAATTTTTGTATGTGAGCAGGGAAGCTGAAAGATATGGGTAACTCTTTGTTGGGCCGTTTTGGAATGAGCGTGGACAACTTCAAATCTGTTAAAGATCCAAACACTGGCTCTTATTCTATTTCATTCCAACGTTAGTGTGGTTGTGGTCATATTCTACAACAATGTGGGAAGAGTCAGGGTGGTGATCTGAAGGAGTATGGGCTTTGTCATGTATGCAGGATTGGTAATTACTAGTAAATGCAGAGTTGATAAAATCATTTGAGGATAGTATGTATTGATATGATGAATTTTAAGATATTAGGGTTTCTACATATGAATGGAACTATTACTTGATGAATGTTCATTTCATTTGAGCTCTCTTGTGTTTGTTTTGTGGGGTCTTCTGCAAAATTGTTAGGCCTAGTTTGGTAACACATTGCTTTTAAAATAAACAGATTCTATCCGAAAATTTTAAATTTTATGTGTTTGGTAAAACACGGGTATGCTACTTTTTCCCCACAAAATTAATGGTCAGAAACAGCAGTTTTTAAGAAGCATCAGCTGTTTTTAAAAACTGCTGGTTTAAGAAGCAGGCGGTACCATTTAGTTAACTTTTTGGATTAACCATATTGTCCTTATCTATCACATGTTTTATTCTCTTTTTTCACAATCGGAATAAAAACCTCAGATCTCCGCAGCTCCATATCCACACTCTACCCATATTGTCCTTATTTATTACATGGGTATTGGAAGCTTCCTGACTTCTAGAGGAAGAGAAAAGTTGTCTCATCCTCCAAATCACTTGCTTGGGCTCTAAAGCTGCTCTCTACTCTCTCAGCTACAGGTATCTTCCCCTGTCTCTTTGGTTGAAACTGCTCCATACTCTCAAACTCAAATGTCATGTTTTTCCACATACTTTTTTCTTTCTTTTTTAAAGTTAGGGCTTCTGTGTAATACTTTTCCCTCTTTACATTTTGAACTCTTGCATCATTTAGGTGTTTGGGTATAATGTTTTGGGTTAGGATGATTCTTTGCAATCTTATCTTCGTAATCTAGTGCTTTAGTTTAGGAATTCTTTGTAAATATGCAGACCTGACAAATTTGACCCATAAGAAATAAAAAGGAAACAGAATTGAGAAACATGTTAAAAAGAAATTAGGTACTAGTTGTTAAAAACAAATTGTTGAAAGAAATTGAGAAACATGTGTTGAAGTTAGTTTTAAAAGATCTACATAGAAAACTGTACAAGTTGGAAGCCTTATTTAATTGCGGGATGGTTTTTCTTTTTCAGATATCTTGGTTGTCAAACTTCTAATTAGGCTTTATTTTATTAGTTGTAGATTTGCAAAACCTGGTTGTATGACATTCTGTTTAAGTATGCTCTTCATCAATTCATGGGTCTTTCTTGATTTTTAGATTTCTGCTTATTTGTCTTTTGGTTTTGATCTGTTCTGCTTATTTGACTTTGAGAATTCCTGGGCTCGTGTGTACTGGTTTCGATGATAGAGCATAATATAGGTTGCTGGGAATTGGGAATATTGATAGTTAATTTCAACATATATATGCTGCATTATCACTTTGCTCATTTTTTCTGAGTATCATACTCTCGCAACATATGTTTCAACTTCCAGTTAGCCCAGCAAAACTTTAGTATAAGTGATAAGCATTAGATAAGATCATTACCTTATCATCAGCATTTATTCTTTTGAAAATATGTCCTATAAGATCAGTATTGAGCAAAATTTATAAGAAGACAATAGGAGCGTGTCCTTTTTGCATATGGATGTTTATATGTTTATTATTTGGACTGTTTGGATTGTTTGCTATTTTCCATTTCTCATATCTAAGCCTTATTTCTTTAGTAAGGATGGTAAAAGAATGTGAGAAGTTCATCAAAAGCGAGATGGAGAGGGAGGTTGATGTAAGAAAACATCACCGTAGTCTTCATTATCATGGAGCACAAAAGAGATGGAAGCATTGAGAAACACCACAAGATTAATGAACGCATCTAATTATACATTTTGTGTGTGGTAGAGATCTATTTAAACATTTCGATATTGAACACTTTTGTATATTTGTTATGAGATAGGAGAAGGCAAAGGTACATATTCAGGGTAGGTACCGTAAGCATCTATCAAGATTGTTGTACTATTGAACCATATCATGACATTTTTACGATTGAAATAACAATATTTTGAAGTATTTTGTCACAATAATCAGTTTGAACTTGTGGTATAAATGTACTTGCTCTTTTTCACAGTCGGTTTCTCTCGATTGCTGTTTGTTTATGGGTTCTTTAGATTACATTATATATGGAATTTTTCTATGTTAGTATGTTCTTATTATAAGAAAAGTGCACGAAACTCTGGCTATAAAATGGCACAAACCTACAGTTTTTCAGTAATTACAAATATGTAACAAGAAGCACTTCCTTACACACATATATCTCAAATCCATTAAAAATACCAAACAATTACTCGAGATATATGAATGAAATATAGCACTAGATTTTGATTCCATACCCCTAAAGCAAAGCTGAATTTTAAGTTTGCCAAAACTATAATATCACAATTAATTCACCACCAAAGTGGATTAACAGAAACTTCATTTGCAAATAATGTTATACATGGATGGGAGAATTGTATATCCAAGCAATCAAAACTCAAAAGCCCTAAACCCTAACCAAGATTCTAACATGTACCTCTTATGCTAGCTAGTTTTTTTTTTGGGGGTCAAACGATGAGAGATTTTATTGAAAACGAATAGTAAGGTTTACATCTTTAACTAAAGTATCAAAAAGCCAATCAGTGCCAACCTCATCCTATCGGTGAGTACCTCTTGCTCGAGATACAAAGGATGCAACTAAGTGTGCCGCTTCATTGCATTGCCTCAGTGTGAAAGAAGCTGGTGATGATATTAGATATATTCAAGATATATATATATATATATATATATATATATATTCTGAAAGCGAGTTATTGTAGATTGTAAATTCTTTGCAGTGAAGAAGCGTGTAAGTTTTTACCATTCCTAAGTGGAGATTTCTAAAGTCACTTTCTCATATCCTTTTAACTTTCACTTTCAATTTATCCACAAAGTATCCAGAATCTAATCTATCCACAACCTATCCATAATAATGTATATTTCAGTGACCATATAGTCAAAACCGACGACTTGGGTCCACTCCTAAATTATTATCAGTAGCCTTTAACGTTAGCCATATACATATATCGAACAGAAAAAGAAGCACTGATCTGTTCTTTGTCTTGTCTTGAGCAGTACTGGAAGAAAGCGAGAAAAGAAAGATGGCTACGGAGTTTCTTACCTTTGGTGCCCAGGAAATACTGAAGAAACTGGCTTCGCTTGCCGGTCAAGAATTTGGTCTTGTACGAGGATCCAAACGAGAGCTAGCAGCCCTGCGTGAATCATTAGTAATGACTCAAGCTATGCTACGAGACGCCGAACAGTCACACGTTAGGAGCGAGGCTGTGGAAATGTGGGTGAAGAAGCTTCAAGACATAACTCATGATGCTGATCATGTGTTGGATGAACACGAATATGAAGTTCTGCGGCGTAGGGTTGAGCTGCAAAACCAAATGAAGAAAAAGGTACTCGACTTCTTTTCGTACTCCAATCCGATTTCCTTTCGTCTTAAAATGGCGCATAAAATTAAGAAAATCAACACATCTTTGGAGAGTTTGAATAAGATGGTAGCTGGTATGGGGTTGGTTGATAGGGCAGTTGTAGAAGCAACCTCTCATGAGATAGGAGCTGACAGGGAAACCATCTCCAGCTCGATCGAGATGAGAAGTACATCGTTGGAAGGGCTGAGGTCGTGTCAGAGATAGTTAAAACCTTGATTAACTCAAGCAATAATCAGGAGAATTATCTTTCCGTTATGGCGATTGTTGGAATGGCAGGCTTAGGAAAGACAACTTTGGCTAAATTGATATATCATGAATATGAAATAGGAAGACACTTCCATGAAAAAATATGGATATGTGTATCTACTCCTTTTAAAGTCAACACAATTTTAAGCGGAATTTTAGAAAAGCTTAAACCAGAGAAGGCTCGGATAAGAGGGAAGGCAACAATATGTGAAAACCTCCAAGAACATTTGAAAGGAAAAAGATATCTTCTCGTGCTTGATGATGTTTGGAATGATGATCCTCAAAAATGGGATAATTTGATAAGTTGTTTATCAAATGTTCAAGATACTAAAGGAAGCAACATCGTTGTCACTACCAGAAGTGTTAGTGTTGCATCAATTGTGCAAACACTTCCTAGGCATGATTTGAGAAAACTATCAAATGAAGAATGTTGGCTCATATTAAAGGATAAAGCATTTCCAGATGGGAGTTCTCCTTTAACTAATGATGAAGGGAGGATTGCAAGGGGGATTGCTAAAAAATGTGTAGGTGTACCATTGGTGGCAAAGGTATGTTTATTAATTTGTTACTCATTAATTAATAAAGCTCTTATTTCCTCTTCTTTTTTTTCTATTTTACTTTCATTTTGTAACATATTGTCATTTAATAAAGATTGAAACTCATGTTTGAACAGGTTTTGGGCAATATGATGCGTTCTAAAAAGAGAGATGGATGGTGCTCAATTCAAGAATGTAACATATGGGATTTACCAGAAGGAGGAGAAAGAATATTATCAGTTTTGAAGTTGAGTTTTGATCAATTAAAATCATCATCTATGAAACAATGTTTTGCATATTGCTCAATGTTTAGCAAAGATTTCAAAATTCAAAAGGATGACTTGATCCAACTTTGGATGGCTCAGGGGTTGCTGCGCCCTTTTACCAGCAAAAGTAATCTAGAGATTGAGGACATAGGTGATAAGTATTTTAGAATTCTATCCAAGAACTCATTTTTTCAAGATGTTACCAAGGATGATCATGATATTATCACTGAATGCAAGATGCACCATCTTTTCCATGATCTTGCAAAGCATATATCAGAATCAATGAGTAAAGACTTCAATCAGACTCGACATATGGCATAAATTCCTACCTCAGTGCTACTTGCAAAAAAGAGTGGTCATGAATTACACTCAGTTTTTGTGAAAGATGAAGTTCTTGGTAATGCCTTACTGAGCTTTAAAGGTTTACGAGTCTTAAAATTATATGAGGCTGATATTGATGAGTTGCCAATTTCAATTGGAAAGATGAAGCACTTGAGGTATCTGGATGTTTCCAGAACAAAGATCAAATCGCTCCCCAAATCTAGTGGCAAGCTTTATAATCTGCAGACATTAAGAATGGATTGTCTCAACTTTGAAGAGTTTCCAAAGGAAGTGCAAAATTTGATAAGTTTGAGGCACATTTATTTTAAGTGGGACTGTGAAAATTTTCCAGTCAGTATGGGGGCGTTTAACTAATCTCCGATCATTATCCTTTTTCATTGTGGGTAAGGAGGTGGGTCGTGGAATAGAGGAGTTGGCTGGCTTAAGGCATTTGAAAGGCAAATTATCTCTTTATAATCTAGAGCATGTGACAGATGGAGAAGAAGCAAAGAAAGCAAAATTAGTTGAGAAGACAAGCATATGGAAATTAAGCTTTGAATGGCAGGGAGAGAGGCCGAGCATCAACAACGATGAGTGGAGGGAATGATTTTCCCCACGAGAATATTCGTCAAAGATTCCTTCGTCTTCTCCGCTTCTCTTTCTCCCTGCAAAACAGATCGGAGTAAAAGGACCACACCCGGGGGGTGTTGGCCAAAGGCCCTCCGATGCCTAAGTTAGGTAAGGTATTTCAAGGAAAACCGGGTGGCCGGAGCCGTGTGTGGTGGCCGGAGCCTTGTGTAAGGGAGAGAAAGAAAGTGGTGGCTAGGGTTTGTGAGAAATGATTTCTGCAGAGTTTCAGTAGGAATTTAGACATACCTCCACCATTGTGTGTGGCTATGCTTTTATAATGGTCTTGGAGGCTAGGGTTTCAGAGGAATAATTCCGTAGATGGAAGGGAATTATTCCTCCCCTTTATGGAATTGATTTGATTAATTAGGGATTTGATTTATTAGGGTAAATCAAATCCCTAATTGTGGTAGGTATCAAATCAAATCCTATTTCAATTAGGTAACTCCTCATTTAATTGAGAATCGGGGTAGGAATTAGGAATCAATTCTCAACCCAATTAGGTAGTCTTCAATTTAATTGGGTAACCCCCAATTAAATTGAGTAACTCCCAATTAGGTTGATTAATTCCCAATTAGGTCAAATAATCCCCAAATGGAATGAATTATTTGACCTAGGGTTTTGACTTAATTTGGTTACCACAAATGCCCCCCAGCTTCTGCATGGCGCGTGGTGGCATGTAGGAGATGTAAATACTCCGTTGGGTTGTCCAGCTGCAACTGGGCTTCCTTCGTGGACCTGGGCTCTCGAGTGTCGGAGGTGGTGGTCTGCCCCTTACTCAGGATGTTGAGAGATGAGCAGAATGGTCCAGATTCCGATGATCTGCCAGTTGGGCAGGAGGAGTGTTCTGCTGAATCTCCCCCAAAGAGAAAGGTTGCTGCCAAGTCTTCAAGAGATGAAGCTACTCCTTCGCAGGTAGAGAATGTGTCTCTATTGAGGAAGAAGCCAAGAAGACTCAAGTGGGGTCTGCTCTACCATCATCTGCCAGGGCGAAGAGTTCTTCTTCAGCGTCGGCGGTTGATCCAAAGGCAAACAAGTCTAACCCTGTAGGGGATGCGTGTGTGTTTGATCTGCTCAAGACGAACTTCGTATAAAACCCGTCCTTCTGTGCTGAGTTGGTCGATCACATCTGTCAGGCCGGCAATCTTGGCACATTCTCGAGCCTTTCCTTGGAAAAACAAAGGGAAGCCACATTTCATCTGCTTCAAAAAGGAGTGGTTCTTGTTGCTAAAACTATCTGAAACTCGTCTGCTGTTGCCCCCTCTTCTACCGCTGGCTTGGTTAATAAAAAAAGATGCCTACTTCCGTTTTGAGCACAAGAGTGGATGCAGTAGATGAGATGATGGCAGATGCTATGAAGCAAGCAGATCAAGATGCTGAAGGCATAACTGATCAGGCGAATTTCGAATAGGCTGTAACTCAGAGGTGTCCTGCTGGCGCCTCGGAGTAGATGAAGTTTTCTTTATTTCTTTTCATCTTTTGTAGCCTGCCTTCTTGTTTAGAACAAATGGTCTTTTTTAACCTTCTTCATTTTGTTGAACTTGGCCGGTTGGTCATCTTGTTATGGATGTGAACTATTAAGTAATCAGCTTCTATCTTGATTGCACTTCTTCTTTGGAGATTTATGAGTGATAGGGTTCCCCTTGGGGGATTCCGAGCGTATTCTGCACATCTCGTATGCTATTTTTCTCTTAGGAAGTTGGCAAGTGCCAGGGTCCCCCTTGAGGGACTCCGGGCGTGTCCTGCACATCCCTTAGGATGATTTCACTTAGAAAGTTGGCGAGTGCCAGGGCCCTCCGTGCGTGTCTTGCACATCCGTTAGGATGGTTTCCCTTAGAAAGTTGGCGAGGGCTAGGGCCTCCCTTAAGAGGCTCCGGGCGTGTCCTGCACATCCCTTAGGATGGTTTCCCTTAGGAAGTTGGCGAGCGCCAGGGCC